TCCACCTCCCATTTAGTAATGGCTCACTTTTGAACGTCACCCGTATGTCTACAGGCTTGCCTATGCAAGTTCCTGTTATAGGTAGTAGGATGTCTCTTATAGGATGTAGGATGTCTTCTTATACCAGTAGCAGCCTCTCTACAATGAAAGCCACACCAAGGCTGATCCTTAGGCTTCGTCACATATTGCCGGTGGGGAATGTGTTCTTGTTGTAGATTAAGGATGTGTCCAGTGAAGGCTTTCACTTGGTTGTCAACATTCCCTTGGAGAAGAGCATTCCAATCGGTGGTGGCGAGCTCAGAGCGAAGGGCTGGCCAATTACCTCTTTCCCATAGCCAGGTTGTGCGTGTGGACTCCTCACCTCGTTCTGTTGGGATCTTAAGTGCTGTAAAAACAGCCTTGTGGTCAGACGATCCAAAATAGCCGAGGGGTTGACAAGTGACTATGCCTTCTGCCAGATTACTCACTACTGAGTCAAGGGAGGAGCCAGAGATGTGAGTAGGGAAATCAACAAAGTTTCTGTCAAACACTGCAAGAAGGTCATCAAAGTCCCTCTGTATAAGGTGCTGGTTGATATCACCAACAATTATGATATGTTGACAGTTGTGTTGTAGCAGTAGGGAGTCAATATTTTCCATTAGGAAGTTGATGGGATCTGCATGTTACCACTGAGGTCTGTACATTGCAGATGCTAGTACAGAGGTACTAGTGTTAGGTTAGGTTAGGTAAAGATTAGCCGGTATTCTCCCGGCCCGGGCCCTTTCCAAGTGGTGGCCCGGCCTTGGCTCCCTCTTTAGGGAGTGTCTGAGACCTAAGTCTCCCATGGGAGGAGGCACAAGTACCTCCTCATCTTTGGGACCAACTGTCCCCAGGCCTAGCCACAAGCTAGGCCTCACTGGTCTGCCATCCCCACCCCAAGGAGGCAAATGGGAATGACAGTCTTATGAGCTAAAGGCTCGGGCTCAGGCACCTACCCTACCCTAGAAGGGTTAGGCATGGTGTCGATGGTACTAGTGTTTATGCAGAGCTTGAAGAACATCATTTCAAGATGTGTAGGGGTGGCAACATCAATGTGCTGGGCATGAACACTTTTAGAGAAGCACACAGCAACACCTCCTCCTTGCCCTTGCCTGTCTCTTCTCATCCATGAGGTGTAGCCAGCAATTCTTGCAAAATTTTCTGGAGTCCTGTCATCCAAAAATGTTTCAACAACAGCTATCATGTCGGGACGTCGAGTGTTCACAAAACTGTGTGTGAGCTCTCCTCTCTCTCTCTCTCTCTCTCTCTCTCTCTCTCTTCTCTCTCTCCTCTCTCTCTCTCTCTCCTCTCTCTCTCTCTCTCTCTCTCTCTTCTCTCTCTCTCTCTCTTCTCTCTCTCTCTCTCTCTCTCTCTCTCTCTCTCTCTCTCTCTCTCTCTCTCTCTCTCTCTCTCTCTCTCTCTCTCTCTCTCTCTTCTCTCTCTCTCTCTCTCTCTCTCTCCTCTCTCTCTCTCTCTATATATATATATTATATATATATATATATATATATATGTATGTATGTATGTTAATGCAGAACAACCACTGTGAAAAAATAGTGAAATTCCAAGCGCTTTCGTGACTTCTCACATTATCAAGGAACTATAAAAGACAATCCTCACAGTCACGTCACAGTGTAGTCTTGCCCTTATAAGCCTTCCTGTTGATGTTTTGTCTTTTATAGTTCCTTAATAATGTGAGAAGTCACGAAAACGCTTGGAATTTCACAATTTTTTCACAGTGGTTGTTTTGCATATTGTGATATCAAGGGTTTTATCTAGCTCTGCTGGGTGCGTGATTCTTGTAGTATTTGGTGGTCCTGTGGGTTAGAGCGTCATGAGGTTTTCGCTCACCATGGGGTGGGCCACAACATTATAAGTTCGACTCCTTGGCTTGTCGCAGTGTTGTTATTGTACCCACTCGTTCGTGGGTACAATAATAGAAAATACTGCATTTTGAGGCTAGTACATCAAAGTCCCTTCACTGCCGTCAACATGACTCAAGAAATCGTAGTGACACGATTGCAGTGACGGCAGTGAAGGGACTTGAGCTAGAGTTCGTCACGGCCACGCTAGCTGGAGATTCGTCTGTAAAAACTTGCATTGGTGGTCACAGAGGTGCCTGTGCTAACCTTTCTATGGTGTAGAAATATACCTAGTTGGATGAATCTTATTGTGGCTAGCTGGTCTAGTGGCTAACGCGACGGGCTGGAGTTTTGAGACTCTATGACCGCGGGTTCAATCCCGGCCGGGGGTATGGTTTGTGATCCTGTGGGTTAGAGAGTCATGTGGTTTTCGCTCACCATGAGGCAGGCGAAAACAACATGGGTTCGAATCCTTGGCTAGTCGCAGTGTTCTAAGGAAATTAATTAAACAAATTAGCATTGTATATATTCTGTACATATTATATTCACAGAATGATACAAGTGAAAAGGAAAAGGATAAGGATTGACAAAGAGAGAGAGAGAGGAGAGAGAGAGAGAGAGAGAGAGAGAGAGAGAGAGAGAGAGAGAGAGAGAGAGAGAGAAAACAGCAAAAGATAAAATAAAAGGAGGAAACAGACTTAGGGAGAGAAATGAGAGTAACGGGTAAGAATAAGGGAAAGGAGAGAAGAGAGCAAGGGAATCAAGACTACAGGAGATTCATTAAGGGCTGGATGTAACCTATTTTACCACCTAGTCAACGATACTTTTGTCCCTTTAACAAGGTTTCAAGGTCACCCTACAGCATATACACGCTGAGAGAAACATACCTCTGTGTGTATGTATCCTGCGTACGTAACTCCATTAAAATGTTAGCATAACATGTCAGACATACAATACCATATGTGATTGTATTCATCGTATTTTGAACAAGTCTTTATTTCTGCTTTAAGTTTTTAATATCACTTTTTTAAATTGAAATGAAAAGTGATTTTTCTTATCGTGGAAAGTGTTTCAAGGAGATAATTGAAAAAAAAATATTTATGTATGTATTTATATGTAAATATATATATATATATATATATATATATATATATATATATATATATATATATATATATATATATATATATATATATATATATATATATATATATATATATATATATTTATGTATTTATATGTATTATATATATAATATGTATGTATTTATATGTAAATATATATATATATATATATATATATATATATATATATATATATATATATATATATATATATAATATAATATATATATATATGTTATATTAAACAAGTCAGAAGGATTATTATAGGACTATTGAAAAGGCTCAGTCACGTAACTAAAATCACACACCTAAAATAAGCTAAAGTCACACAGTTATAATAAATATATGCACGAACTACGCTCATACAACAGACCTACTTGAAGCCTCTATGACGGTCCTTCTCTTTTACAAACTAATGACTTATGCCTAAGTACTGGCCTCTTCTTTAAGTTTTCCTGATCATCCGCTGCTGTTTCACACAAAGAATTGGTGTCATTCTAATGATAAGAGTCTTCACTGGAAACTAAGGACGTTTGTGGAAAATTTCTGATCTTCTCCTGTTGGTTCCTTAAGCGATGGCTAAAGAGAATTTCCTAGTGAAGACATAGAACTTTCCGAGGTCTCCATACCGCATTTAAGGAGATTTTTACAAGACGAACCAGGCGAATCCGGAGATGGACCTATCGTAGTTCCTTGGGGGAGGAGGATGATGAATCCCAGGAGAGACATCCCCAGCTGTCTTCAGTGCTCACACTAAGGGTTGGCACCAGCCAGGGGAGAAGAACCCCCCGTGGAGGCTGGGGTGTCCCCTGGGGTCGTCGCGAGGGCTATGGGGCTCGCGGCTCTGAAGAGCATAGTCCCGAAGTCGAGCCTTCAAGGTTGCTACCATGTCAGGACGAAGGTCAGCCACATCAGTAGTCTCCAGGGGATCATCTGCAAGAAGCGGAGTTTGTTATATTATTATATTTGCATGAAGTGCTAATCCTTTGTGAATTAGCGCTTCACGACTGAACGACACATTCACGAGATTCACGAAATCGTAATAACACGATTGTAAACATACCACGGTATGGGTGAGATTAGAACCCATGGCAAGTGAGTTGTATAACTTCAGACCTTGGGTTCTAACCCCAAAGTACCGTGGTTTGACACACAATTGAATAGCGGGTAGTATGAAGGCCTTTCCACTTGGTATTCAATTATGTATGTACTTTGTCGGTCGCATTAAAAAAATCTCGCTACATAGAGGTTTATGTAAGAAATCACGATAAAATGCGTGATGTCAAGTATGAAAAAATACCAGAGTGAAAATAGAAAATAAAACCTGATCGCTTTCATGTGCATGCACACATCTTCAGAGAAAAGTTATATATATGTAAGCACATGAAAGTGTTCAGGTTTTATTTCCTGTTTTCACAGTGGTATTTTTTCACAAAAGTTTATAAGAGCGTTTACTGCCAGAAAAATAATCACTGGGGAGGACAGACTCACTCACAGGATTTGGGGAGAAATTTCTCTCCAACTCCCGGGGGACGACGACCCTGCTCAAAGGGGCTGTGACTCCTGCTCTCCAGTGTGGGAAATTAGAGGTCATAGCCCTCTTGAGCGGGGTCGTCGCCCCCAGGGGGGGAATGGAGGGAAAATTTCTCCACAGGATGGGTCTTGATGCATAATAAATTCATCCCTTGGGACGAAGTCTTAAAATAAAGAGTATATGAGAGACATACAGGCGTACCTTTGAGGTTGTAAAGCATGAGGTTGTGTGTGGGCGTGCGGGCGTGCCAACTGGAACAACAGCGTGTGTTGGCCCACCCGAGACGTCTGTGGGCGGCACCCACCCGTCATACCGCCCACCCCCGCCCACTACTAACTTCCAGTTCTTGTGTCTGTAAGTAGTAGTAGTGAGAGTAGTTGTAGTGACAGTAGTTACTGTAGTAGTTATGGTAATAGTTATGGAAGTTGTTACTGATGATAGTTATGGAAGTAGTTATGGTGGTGATAGAGGAGCGGGAACAAATTCACAGTCAGCTACGAAGATAAGAGGGATAAAACCTGTGACAGTACAGATTTAAGCCAACGAAGAGGAGCGTACCTCTACTTCCTAGGATCAAAAGCCCCCCTCCTTCCTTCCTTCTTTGAAAGAAAAAGAAAGAAATGGAAAATGCGACAGAAATTTTAAATATCGATTGCCTTGGGTGGGCCTTCATGCCGGCGAAGGGATCTTGATCCAAGGACCTGGAGCTACCATTTCATTATTATTGTAGGAATTTCAATAGATATCGAGGAAAACGCGGCCAACATATATTACTTGGGGATATATTTCCTTTTTTATGAGAGACAGAGAGAGAGAGAATTATTATTATTATCATGGGAAGCGCTAAACCTGTAGGAATTATACAGCGCCTGTGGGGATGGGGGTTGAAGGCATTCAGGCTTCATTCAGGGAATCGGAGCACATATCCAATTCCCTAGATCAAGAGCCCCCTCACCAGCATCAAGTAACCTCCCTTGAAAGTTTTTTTTTTTGAGAGAAATTATTATAATAATAAAAACTTAGCATTAAACCCACTGGGGTCATACAGCTTTTGATGCTGTTTATGAATCTTGGCATACGAAAGTAGTGTTATTATTATTATTATTAAAGATTCGCCGGTATTCTCCCGGCCCGGGCCTTTTCCAAGTGGTGGCCCGGCCGAAAGTAGTGTTCTTCTACAGTTACCCTTGTGACACGTTTTCTATAGTGTTAGTAGACCACAGAAACTATAAAATTATAACTTTATGGGTAGACTGCTTTATCTCTCTGACTCCCACCACTGCTCGGAATATGTCAGTTTTTGTTGATTTGGGAATCTGTATTATGTTTGTATGGTATTTATTGTATATCTAATATTATTTTGTAAGACATGTATGCAACATTTTATAGAGCTATGAGCGACATACTTCCTATCGTGGAGTCTTAATAATAATAATACTAATAATAAATAATAATAATAATAATAATAATAATAATAATAATATCTTTACTACAAGTACATGTACAAAGTCTACAGTCCTAGCTGACATCAATGACATACTACTATATAGAAAGTTCCTTGTTATGCAGAGCATTTCGGGCAAATTAGGTCATTGTCCCAGGATGCGACCCACACCAGTCGACTAACACCCAGATACCCATTTTACTGATGGGTGAACATAGACAACCGGTGTAAAGAAATACACCCAGTGTTTCTACCCTAGCTGGGAATCGAACGCAGACATTTGCCATGTAAAGCGAGAGCTGTAGCCACCAGGCTAAAGCTCTCCTCTCATACCATAGCTTTTCCCACTTTATAACGATGCCAAATGTTGATTTTAAAATATTAGCGGACAAGATAAAAAATAAATATATATATATATAAAATTAGAAAAAAAACAAAAGAAAAAAATCACTTCATGTGTGACTATAATTCGTTGTAAGTTTATTCAGGTATAGGAACACATGAATACAGTTAGATAAATTATCATACATAGCAGATATGTGTAGATTACCCAGGATAACCCTAAAAAGGTCAGTCAAAGTGACTTATTTCCATAGGGGGTAGAAACATCATACTGTTTTAACTTTTAGATTTAAATAATAAGATATTACAAGGACCCCAATGGAAATAAGTCTCTTTGATCATATTATATATGATAATTGATATAACTGTATTTATGTGTACCTGTACCTGAATATACTTACTAACTCACAAAGATGAGATTTACACTGAAATGATGCCAGATTGTTGAAGCATTTTTTAGATTTTTTAGATTTTTTTTCGATTTTTTTTTTACGAACCAGCGCCGCGCGGCAGCATTATCCCCTTCAAGTGTTTAATATCTCTATCAAGGCGGTTTTTATGTTTATTTTGGTATCGTCGCAAAGATAACGCAAAGCTGTGGCTACTGTTTTATCTATGCTATGAGGATGGAAGACAGTAAAAGGGGTGAAGACTTTCTTTTGGGACCCTTTGTTGACTACTAATCTTAGTAGTTTATTCGTTAAAAAATATAACGTCCATTTTGCAACTTGTCCTGTTAAACTTATTAACCTGACTTTACTGGGTAGCACTCCATGATCGTAGTTGTCTACTGCCTTAGCCAAGTCCGTGTAGACCACATCTCTATTTAGGTTTTCTTCCAAAGCGTCCTTAATTTTGTTGTAATGATCTAGTAGTTGCGACAACCGTCATCTACCAACACCTAATGTTGCACTGAGATGTGTTGGTTATGATTTTCTCAAAATATTAACATGGTATCTCACCACCATTTCAAAGACTTTCATAATATGCAGTGTTAGTTTAGTTTAACATCTTTATTAAGCATCTTATACCCACTGGTTTATTATTTTTTTTGCCAAAGTTCTACTGCTTTCTTTGTGCAGGGAGCTACGTTTGTACAGGCCTCTGGGATTTGACCTGAGCTTCGATCTTTCGCCAAAGAATACTGGGTGCTCGTCTTCGTCTGAGTAAGTTAAGCTCTTTCTCGTGGTCACCTGATTCTTCATAGCACCTTTTAACTCACCAAGAAACCTCAACCACACACCTATTACCTCTCACCTCACCATAGCTGGAGTCTGCCAGGATTATGTCAGAAATTTAGGATACATTGACAGGGTTTTGAGGCTCATTCATGAAAAAAGTAATTTGGATTGTTGATCTTTAGACTGATTAATGGCCCTCTAAACACAAAGTCATACTGAGATTTCAGTATCTCATACATTTCTTTGTTGTCATCTGCATCCCATCTTGTCTGAGCAAGGGCTCGATACTAGGTGTAGGTTTTGCCTTGTTTTTAGAAAATAAAAAGAAATATTTTGAATTTCTTTCGATTTCGCTAATTGCTTTTAGCTTCTTCTGTTTCTCCTGGGTCCTATATAAATCCATTAACTTAAGCTCAATATTTTTCACTTCCAGATCAGTGCTTCATTCTGTGTTTCAGATAATCCAGACCCCTTGAGAAGCTTAGTGATTCTTTGCCTTCTCCTGTAGAGGGAGCATATCTCTCTGTCCAGTTTACTTCTTATCTTCTTTTCAGCGGCCAAGAAGTTGATTCTTTCACGGTACTGGTTTGGATCCGTGTTATCTAAGATATCTTCTCAACATGTTTCATTTAGGACATGGTTGACCTGGTGCTCTTGTTGTTGAAGTTGTATTTAATGAAGACACCTTTGTAGTTGTGTGCATTTTCCTGGTCAGGATCCCTGTGCATGTAAGTCTGAACTTCGATGAGATTATGATCCAAATAAGTTGTTTTTGATATTGTTATGTTTCTTAGCAGGTCATCATTATTTGTGAAAATAAAGTGAAGTGTATTTTCCAACCTAGTTGGTGCCACTATATAAGAACATAAGAGAACATAAGAAAGGAGAAGCACTGTGGCAGGCATGTTGGCCCATACTAGGCAGGTCCTTTACAATCCATCTCACCAATGTTGACTTAGGGTGTATTTATTGCAGAAATTCAGCAGCTCAAGCGTGTGTGTGCTGCATTTTTCCATTTGTATATCTTAGATTGAAATCACCAAGCTGGATGGGGCTGGAAGGTTTTCCAGACAGTAATAATTTTTCAATAACTGTTCCTTGAACTGTTGGGAAGTTGCATCTGGTAGTTTATATACAACACAATCACATAACAGGCACTTCTAAGTAAGTAAATTTATTCAGGTACAGGTACACATGAATACAGTAACATAAATTATCATACATAGCAGCATATGTGTAGATTATTTAGAATAACCCCCCAAAAGTCAAACAAAATGACTTATTTCCATTGGGGTCCTTGAAAAGCCAAAGCACACAACCACATACTAAGCACCTCTCAACACACCATTACACACAACCACACTCCTCACAGCATCTCTGAACTCACCAGAACATAAAAACAGCACACCTAGCACCCCTCAACTCACAAAACAAAACACAGCCACACACCTGATTGCACCTCTGAGAGGGCGTTTCCTCAGATTATACACAAAGGAGATCCTGGGCGACTTTCCATTCTTCAGTATGGCTGACCACATGTTCATCCCATCCCCTTCCCATTCTCCCACCTCTTCAACCTCCTCTCCCTCCGCTGCCTCCTCCTCCTCTTCCTCCTCTTCCTCCTCGCCGGCTGCTGTCGGGTTCGTCCTCATGGGAAAGTGATCCTCCGACCGTGAGGACAGATGCTCCCTTTGACCCTGTTGGTGTTTATTGAAGATGTCTCCACTAGCCACGTGCATCAGCGTGTCATGCCAGTCCACCATGTGCATCAGTCTGTAATATACACACACACACACACACATATATATATATATAATATATATATATATATATATATATATATATATATATATATATATATATATATATATATATATATATATATATATATATATATATATATATATATATATATATATATATATATATACAATATCAATAACAACACTGCTACTAGCCAAGGACTCAAATCAATGTTGTTTTGGCCCGCCTCATGGTGAGCGAAAACCACATGACGCTCTAACCAACATGGCCACCAAATCCTACAAGAATCACCCACCCAGTAGAGCTAGGTGTTTTACCATGATCCGAAGACATACGGTGGTGTGGGTGCCTCTGAGCTAATTTCATTCTACTCCCTATTTGGTGTACTAGCCTCAACAAACAGTATTTTATATTATTGTACCTATGAACGAGTGGTATCGATCAATAATAATACTGCGACCAGCTAAGGATTCGAACCCATGTTGTTTTGGCCAACCTCTTGGTGAGCAAAAACCACATGATGCTCTAATAAACAGGACCACCAAATCCTCCAAGAATCATGCACCCGGAAGAGCTAGGTGTTTTACCGTGATCCGAGGATTTGGTGGTTCTTTGGGTTAGAGCGTGGTTTTTTGCTCACCATGAGGCGGGCCAAAACAACATTGATTTGTGTCCTTGGCTAGTCACAGTAATGATATTTATCAATACCACTCGTTTGTGAGTACAATAATGTAAAATACTGCTTGTTGAGGCTAGTACACCAAACGGGGAGTAGAATGAAATTAGCTCAGAGGCACCCACACCACCGTATGTCCTCAGATCACGGCAAAACACCTAGCTCTGCTGCATGCATGATTCTTGTAGGATTTAGTGGCCCTGTGCTTTAGAGCATCATGTGGTTTTCGCTCCCCATGAGGCGGGCCAAAACAACATGGGTTCAAGTTGTTGGCTAGTCGCAGTATTGTTATTGATCAATACCACTCGTTCGTGGGTACAATAATAAAGGCAAGGTGACCAGAAAAAGAAGAAACATTGTCATCACCATTCACTCCATCACTGTCTTGCAGAGGCGGGTCTACACTATAATTAAAAAACTGCAATATTCCAACTCTCTTTCAGAGTGCTGGCACTGTACTTCCCACCTCCAGGACTCAAGTCCGGCTAACCAGTTTCCCTGAATCCCTTCATAAATGCTACCTTGCTCACGCTTCAACAGCACTATTCGTCTCCACTCACTCTTACCTAAAATGCTCACACACACTTGCTGGAAATCCAAGCCCCTTGCACACAAAACCTCCTTTAGTCCCTCCCTCCAGCCTTTCCTAGGACGACCTCCTATCCCTCCTTTCCTCCAGTACAGAGTTATACACCCTTCAAGTCATATTTTTTCCATCCTCTCTAAATGTCTAAACCACCTCATCATCCTCTCATTTGCCCTTTGGATAATGATTTTGGAAACCCCACATCTACTCCTAATTTCCAGACTACGAGTTCTCTGCATTATATTCACACCACACATTGCCCTCAGACACTACATCTCCACTGCCTCCAGCCTTCTCCTTGTCACAACATTCATCGCCCTGCTTCACACATTTGCTCTCATATACTCCCTTACTTGCTTTCATGGATAACGTTTGTTGTCTCCAGAGACTCCTCACTACACCACTCACCTTTTTCCTTTCATCAATTGTATGGTTCACCTCGTCTTTCATTGACCCATCTGCTGACAAGTCCACTTCCAAATATCTGAATACATCACTTCCTCCATACTCTCTCCCTCCAGTCTGATATCCAGTCATTCATTACCTATTTTTTTGTTATCCTCATCACCTTGCTCTTCCCTACGTTCCCTTTTAATTTCCTTCTTTTACATACCCTTCCAAACTCTTCCACCAACCTCTGCAACTTCTCTTCTGAATCTTCCAAAGGCACACTGTCATCAGAAAAAAGTAACTGTGACAACTTCCACTTTGTGTTAGAGTCTTTATCTCTTAACCCGAGCATTCACTTCTCTTACAACCCCATATATAAATATATTAAATACCATGGTGACATCACGTATCCCTGTCAAAGGTCTACTTTTTCTGGGAAATAATCTCCCAATCTCCTACAAACTCTAACCTGAGCCTCACTATCCTCGTAAAAACTCTTAACTGTGTTCAGTAACCTACCACCTATTCCTTACATTTGCAACATCTGCCACATTTCTCTCCATTCCACCCTATAGTATGTCTTTTCCAAAACCATAACTGCAACGAAAATCTCAGTTTATATTCAGTTTCTTAGTACATTTAACTTAAATCGTAAGTTTAGCCACTTTTAACATATATTTAGCCACATACTGCATATATTTAGCCACTTACCCGGTATACTTGTAGCCGGTGCGAGGAAGGAGAGGGGAATGGATGAAGGCGACACCCCTCACTCCCCCTTCAAACATACTCCCCTTGTTGCCTCGTAGAGGGAAGTTGTTTCCCCCTGCTCGGACGTTCCCCCCGTTCTGAGGGGAGGACGTGAAGGTAGGGGTCAGTGGAGGGGAAAATAAGTTTGGAGACATAAGAGAATTATTATAATCATGGGGGAGCGCTAAACCCGTAAGATTGTACAGCGCATGTGGGGGGATGGAGGGTATTCAGGGTCAATTCAGGGAACCGGAGCACAGATCCAATTCCCTAGATCAAGAGCCCCTCACCAACGTCAAGGAACCCCCCTTGAGGGGGACATAAGAGAAGAGGTAAGGGGAGTGACGGGAACATAAATGGAAGGGATGATAGGTGAAGATAGAGGTGAAGATGAGTAAGGGAGAAGATGAGGGAAGTTAGGAGAGAGAGGAAAGAATGTGAAGGACAAGTAAAGACCGGTGAGTATTAATCACCATATGTGACGGGATAGGAAGATAAAAATAAAATCAGTCAAAATACTGATAATGTGTATGTCTTTTTGACTGATATATTGTTGTTAATCATTTTCTACACACGCACACACACGCACCACACACACACACACACACACACACACACACACACACACACACACACACACACCACACACACACACACACACACACACACACACACACACACACACACACACACACACACTTACATCACTGGTGAAGACGATAAGCGAGTTATCGTAGAGTCCTGACTTCTTGAGCTGCCTCACCACACGACCCACAACTTCATCCATAGCAGTGACCATCCCTGCAGTGAAACACTCCAATATAACAACCACATTTCCGTGGTTGGAAAAATTCACAAATAACTCTTTGGCGAGGAAGCCCTTAGGCGACATTTCGGTCAGTCCCTGACCATAATCAGGTGTGATTTGATCATGGTACATTACGGATTGAAACGGCATCTGAAGTCTCCTCCCATAAGTGCTCTCACTTCTGAGAGGTGCCTTGATATATTCATACTAAATGAAGGCTGAAATATGCATAAATTGTGATATGTTTATATTAGTATATTCAAACATGGAGACACAAGTGTACTTCTGTTTTGTACCCTGAGAAAATGACTTCCCACTGTGGGAAAATGTCTACCTTCCGTGGGAGAATGATTACCCACAGTGGTAGAATATTTATCCACCGCGTAAGACCGACTTCTACTACCCACCGTGGAAAGTTCTCCTGTCGAGGTTCATGATGCCCCTGTGCATTCGCCTGTATCTGAGGGGCACCTCGACAGGGCCATGAACTGCCTGCAGTGACAGCAGGAGGAAGAGTGGGTCACTGGGGGACCTCGAGACATGCTCTTTGATGACTTCTTCTGCACGAGCGGCGTAAAGATCCTGTGGGAGATCAACACTCTGAATATTACCAGTTGCTTTCATGAAGCACTAATTCTGCATTGCATGATGAAAGCTCACTCCTCCGGCTGCTAATAGTAGTAGTAGTAGTAATAGTAGTAGTAGTAGTAGTAGTAGTAATAATATAAACATACTAGTCAAGTGTACGTACTATGGCGGAGAGGAAAACTATAGTAGACGGGAAAGAAAACTTACGGCTGACTTTTCAGTTAGGTCAAGCTTGTAAATCAGAAGTTAGATCAAAAGAAACCAAGATAATAAAATATTACTTGAACATTCAATAACTTGATGTCTCGAGGCCTAAGTGATACCAAGCCAGAGAATATAACCTAAACACTCATAAATATAGTAATGAGATACCCTGTCCAATGATGACAAACTTATAACACTGAAAATACCCTAAGATGGAAGATTTTAAATTTTACACGCTGAGGCATTTATTTATTACACATCCTGCATCTGTCCTGTGAACGTTCATGGCGGGTTTATTGGTTACCTAATATTAGTACTGTGGATGGTAGGGGAAGATCACATTGATGCACAAAGTGCCTAGAAGATCTAACTGGATTTACATATAGGTATAGAAACATAGCAAATTGTCACTCAATCATCTGTGGATGAGCCGGTAACCTGTGTCATCACTGGAGGGGTCACCAGTCAGCCTGTTATTATACCCGTGATCGTACCAGGAGCTGCGGGTGAACAAACCACACACGAGTTAGCAGATTTGGATGGTGAATTATTCACATCAGCAGCAACACCACCAGAAGATGCTGGTGTGACTGTAATATCTGTTGACTTGGCAGGTGAAGACAAGACTTACCCGAGAGTACTGCTCTGCAGAGAAGTCCTCGAGACACCTGATCTTTTTAAAAATTCATTGTAGAAAATAAAATTGTAAAGTTAGCTAGTCAGAATACCTCTAAACACAAAGATGAAAACACTAGTGAAAAATTTTCCATTGTAAGTAAAACAGGCATTAGTAGAGAAGTTGAGAAGTTTTGATTGTAAACATCGGCAAGGAAGGTGCTGATGCAATGCCAGGAGATGATTATGGAAAATGGTTAATTAAGAATTAGCACACTGTTGCTACAGAATAACAGTCTTATCATCTAACAAACTAGAGATTGTAATAAATAACTTCAGTTGGTAGATTTTTTTTTTCTGTGGTTGCCTGACTTATTTTTATTACTTATTCTCATATGGTACAGATCAAAATTTTATTGAACTTTTTAGCACTTGTAAACTATGGCCTTCGTTTTCCCCCACGCAGTCGATAGACCTCAAATCTAACAGAATTTCTAATTCTTACATTTGAATAGATTTCAGACACGTTGTTTATAGGCTGCTGGTTGAAGCGGAAGTCATAGCCACCGTCTTCCATATGTTCAGGTGTAAGCCATTCCTGTCCACCCCTTCCCCCAGGAGGATCGTGTCCCGCCCCTTCCTCTGACAGCTGGTGCTGAAGCTTCAGCAGGTGCTGCTGCTGCTTGGGACTGACTGCATGTCGTCGAGGGGATCGAGGTCGCTCACGACTTCGTTCTGCTCCGACCAGAAGGGCGAACCTACCACAAGAACATTTAAGGTTGAGAAGCTTATTTTTTCCCCTTTGATCTTTCTTGTTTGTTGTGGTTTTATAGGGCTATTGACAGATAACGCCATATCGAGCCTTATTTCTTGGCCTTATGGTTTTTTAAGTCAGATGTTTTGTGAAAGTTGTTAATGTCTACTTTTTAAGAACAAACAGACATTATCTACCACAACATTGAAGAATTAAATGAACTACTTAAAAAACTGAAATTTCTTAGCTGGATTATTTAATTTATCAATTACACAAATTAATGTGTAAGTCAGTATTTAAATAATTTTATAAGTAAAATATTTAAATAAATTGTCTAATAAATTAATTACTTAAAATTAAATAACAGTGATTTTACTATTACTACTACTACTATTATGACTACCATATCTACTACTACTGTTACTACACCTACTGTCACTACAACGACTGCTGCTGTTGTTGCTACTACTGCTACTACTACTACTACTAATAATAATAATAATAATAACAATAACAGAATAATTCAAACCTTTTTTGGGAAAGAGTTTCTTGTAGCGAGTGAAGTAGGTCTGACTCCCCAGGTAGTACCCGTAGAAGGAGTCGAACCCACGGTGTGTGGGCGTGTAGGACCAACTGCAGTAACCCAAGTGCCACCTGAAGTAGACAGCGTGAACAGTGTCAGCATAATCACCTCTCTCTCTCTCTCAACTATCGTAAGAGTAACATCTGTATGTATGGAGTCCGGTGGACAGAGTCCACAACCTGTCTGGTGAAAGCTGTGAAGTTCATGTGAGTGGAAAACAAAATCTCTGAAATTTAGGCAGAAATTTTAACGAGTCGTTACAATTAATGTGAGAAGGAAGCCCACAATCAACGAGAGAATAAGAGATTCTGAATATAAATGATCAGATCCCACTTGTTAAGTGGGATTACCTTCCCTACTACATAAGGTGGTTTGAAAAGTATATTTCAGCCAGAAAAAGTAAGAAAAAAAAACACTAAGAGGAACGAATAGAGTATAATAAAAGGAGAAAGTTTCTCAGAGATCATCGGACTAAAAATTTTCAATGACTAGGTGTTAAGGCAAATTTTTAAAATGTTTATATAAAAAAAATTGCACAGAGTTCCGGAAAATATTTGAAAATTCGATGAAACAATTTATTTAGGTAAAAATGACAGATAAGAAAAAAGTTCAGTAAAAGATGCATAAAAAGCCTGAAAAAAGGACGGGAATGGAACCAACATTAAATGTATTACAACCCAGAGTTTTAACACAGATTCATATATATATTTTTTCTTCTCTTTCTCCCGTGTTATACCACAGAATGAGGAAGAAATACTCAATAAGCTAAAACTAAACTTCATGTTCAAGTTTATATATAAAAAATAAATCTTACGTAAAAGACAAAATATAAACAATCGGAGATGGAAGAGTGAGATATTAAATATATAGTTTCTGAAGGTGTTTACAAAATAATTTGCTTTAAATAAAGCTACCTTTAACTCTGACATTCACTTGAAAAGGTGCCTACTGAAATTGCCAAAATCGAAAAATAAAAATATATGTATCATTTGATACCCTAAAAAATAGCAATAGAACCAGACTAGATATCACACTGAATTTAAAACAAATTGCTGAAAATATCGCCCGCACGGGTTTGTCTTATACATAAAACATTTCCAGACGTAACTTTTGTGGACAATAATTCCTCTCTTCAGCAGTCGTAGGATTATCGTTGAAAGTTGATCAGTTTGACTGTGTTTCCTGCTTACTGACTGCAGGTTTTCATATGGTCTCTAAATGCAAATTACTACCGTTGCCTTGAGACTTTCTTAAGAACAACACGAACATGATAAGAGGGAAAATTCCCTCGTGGGTAAAAATGAAACTCGATGTTTTTCCTACAATATTTATAACTTATAAAATTTATGGTCTGTAAATGGTAAGGTATAAAATTTATTTAAAATTATGTAAATGAATTTTCCAAAGGAATAAAAACTACAAAAATATGTTCGAGGATGATATCAAAATTCCTATGCAAAATAATCAATAAAAATTGCAAGAAGATTTGGTAGACTGAGTAAATGGAATGACAGAAGAGGATCAAATAAATTGCAAAATATTTGCTACATAATGGAAATAAGAGAAAGTAGAGAAATAACAGAAAATATTGTTTGTGTTGTAAAATACATACAACACTGTACAAAACATTGTCACTATAAGGTCACATATATGCTATGGTTGGTAAACTTAAAAAACTTCGGACATATGAGTATTTATATGCTAAAAAAAGGCATAAATTACGTACGATAGACCGAAATTGGAATGTGTACTAGGTGTAATACCTCCACATTTAAAAAATATATATACATAGAAAAAAAATTCAGAAGAAATGCTCCAAATTGAAGTTACGAACACTGAAGACGAGATCCCACGAGCATAGATATACTCTTGAGAGAACAAACACTAAAGAGAGGACACCAGTACCACAGTTCTGCTCTTGTAGCTACAAGCAGGTGATCACAATAATGTCTGCATAACATCTTGGGGACCTACTTGCCGATAAGGTGAGTCTTGTATCCCAGAGTCTTGAGACGCTGAGGAAGGAGCGTGAGGGAGGTGTTGAGGCCAGTAGGACTCAGTGGAGTAGCCGACGCCTATCAGAGAGATGGGAAAAGTGACTGATAGATGGGAGAATATGGGGTGTACATGAAAGTTAATGGAAAACGCTGACAGAGGAAGACCTTACTGTACACACTGAAACTGTATTCAGAGGACTAATTACACTATAACATAGCAGAGAAAGGGATCACCCACCTGTTTGCCGTATCTGAAGGGGTACAGGCCTGTGAGGAGAGCAGCTCTGGAGGGAGCACACAGAGGCAACACATAGTGGTTCTCCAGCAGTATGCCTTTCCTGGCCAGCCGCAGAATCTCCGGTGCTTTCATGTCGGGTTATGCCAAGGCACGTCGTTGTAGCCTGTGTATAGAGCATGATGAAAGAAAGTACTAAATGCGGAAAAGAAGGCGAAGGGAAGAAGGAGAGCTGAGGGAAGGGAAGGAAAGGTGAGGAATCAAAAAAAGATTTGAGCGTAAAATATGAAGAATTACAGTGAGTTGCTTTGACACTTCAATAAAGAGTCTCTGGTCACGATTAAAATCACTTGAGCATAATATACTGTCGTCTTAGAGAGTAAAAAATACTATTAAAATTATGCTATTACTGTAAAAAATTATGTTAAATTGTTGTGCTAGTAATAATTAGTTCATACATGTGATAGCAATATGTTAGATATACACAACAATCCTCTGAAACTTTGATAATAACTTGATAGACAGAAAGGCACTAAATCTATTTAAGTTATGCTATTTTGACAGTTATAAAACCTCTACGGAACTCACCCAGATCATCTGCCAAGATGAAGATGATATTCGGTGGCGATGTTTTCTCTTTGGAGTTCTTGATCCGTCTCAACCTTTTCCTTCTCTTCAGTTCCTCCTGGAGAGTCTCCTTCAGCATTTTACTGTGTTTCTGTTTCCTCTTTCTCCTTCTCTCCTCCTTGGCGTCCCCCGCCCATCGGTCGTTCTGAGTCTTCTTGACGTTTACCTTCGTTGAGGTGTTCCCCACTTCGATGTTTACCTTCGGCTGAGTGTCCTCGAGTTCAACGTGGTCTGTGTCGCCGGGGATGTCGCTCTCTTCTGGTCCACTATCTAAGGCCGTAGCTAGATCTCTCTCTCTCGCTTCGTTATCCTCAGGACTCGGCCACCAAAACTTATCAGTAGTCAGATCATCGTCGCTGTGTTCAAAATCCGTGTCACCTAAGATATTCTCGTCTTCCTCTTCTTCCTTATTTTCATCGTCTCTCACTATGGGATCTTCATTGGCAGCAGACCAGAAATTTCCGTCTCTCCCACTCACCGTCAATGCGCCTTCTCGGTCCGGGGGAAAACTGTCAACGTAATTATCAACAACCTCGAAATTTTCCCTTAAACTCGACCAGGAGCTTTTCTTGGCAGCCGAATCCTGTAAGCCTGCCAACCAGGCTTCCTCTAGTAACCTGGGGTCGTCTTGGTGACCTCCAGGTGGTTCGGACTGCTCTTCAGGGTGGACAAAATGGAGGTCTTGTTGACCTCTGTCCTGTGTCGTGTCTGAGGTCACCTGGAAGGTAAGATGAGGTCAGAAATTATTGTTGTGATGTCATCGATACCTAATTTACGAGGATAGAGTGTTTTTAGTCTTAGTAATTAAGGTGATTAACTATAAGCAACTATACTAATAACCTATTATCAAAGATGTAGTAACATAAACTTTTATCATCCCCCCCTCTCTCTCTATCTCTCGTTCTCTCTCTCTTTCTATCTATTTACCTACCTATCTATCTCTCCCACCCTCCTTCCCTCCCTCAGCTTACTTTATGTACCACCGATAACCTACCTGTTCTAGCAGTGTTGTGTGACTGCTATTACTTTCAGGATGCCAGGAGGAGAAAAGCATTCCTGAGAGCAGGAGGAGAGGATTCATTGTGGTCAGTACCTTCGACACCTGTCGATGGCACCTCTAATCTCCGTCGTGGGGGTTTCTATCCTCACCGGCCGTTGCAACTCTAACCTCGGTCACAAATCTGTTGGAGAATAAATGCCAAATCTTTTATGGCGATATTCTGATATTTACACTTGAAGGAGAGTCGTAGTTCATCGAGATGTCTCGAATCTCGTTCACCACCACTGGGGGAATTTCAACTTTAGATTTTCTGAGGCATATTATGATATTTGAAGCTAAAGTTCATTGAGAGAACATTGATATTTAACTCTCAGCTGTCGTTCCTGGACACCAACAACCTCATTAATAGCTATACGAGTGATTACATATCTAATCTCTATTTCTTTCTCTGTCTGTCTGTCTCTCTCTCTCTCTCTCCCTCTCGCTCTCTCTCTCCCTCTCTCTTTCACTTAAAAAGACACATATTAAGTCACACTTAAAGCACTGCAGTATGAAGGAACCTGAGATGAGGTTTTTAAAACTGTTTTTTGGCTCTATTTATTTCTGCGTTTTCATGTTTGTGATTTTCCTGCACCGCCACAGTTGCTTGGTGACGTTTGCTTCTCACCGCCACAGTTGCTTGGTGACGTTTGCTTCTCACCGCCACAGTTGCTTGGTGATGTTTGCTTCTCACCGCCACAGTTGCTTGGTGACGTTTGCTTCTCACCGCCACAGTTGCTTGGTGATGTTTGCTTCTCACCGCCACAGTTGCTTGGTGACGTTTGCTTCTCACCGCCACAGTTGCTTGGTGATGTTTGCTTCTCACCGCCACAGTTGCTTGGTGACGTTTGCTTCTCACCGCCACAGTTGCTTGGTGATGTTTGCTTCTCACCGCCACAGTTGCTTGGTGACGTTTGCTTCTCACCGCCACAGTTGCTTGGTGATGTTTGCTTCTCACCGCCACAGTTGCTTGGTGACGTTTGCTTCTCACCGCCACAGTTGCTTGGTGACGTTTGCTTCTCACCGCCACAGTTGCTTGGTGACGTTTGCTTCTCACCGCCACAGTTGCTTGGTGACGTTTGCTTCTCACCGCCACAGTTGCTTGGTGATGTTTGCTTCTCACCGCCACAGTTGCTTGGTGACGTTTGCTTCTCACCGCCACAGTTGCTTGGTGACGTTTGCTTCTCACCGCCACAGTTGCTTGGTGATGTTTGCTTCTCACCGCCACAGTTGCTTGGTGACGTTTGCTTCTCACCGCCACAGTTGCTTGGTGACGTTTGCTTCTCACCGCCACAGTTGCTTGGTGACGTTTGCTTCTCACCGCCACAGTTGCTTGGTGATGTTTGCTTCTCACCGCCACAGTTGCTTGGTGACGTTTGCTTCTCACCGCCACAGTTGCTTGGTGACGTTTGCTTCTCACCGCCACAGTTGCTTGGTGACGTTTGCTTCTCACCGCCACAGTTGCTTGGTGATGTTTGCTTCTCACCGCCACAGTTGCTTGGTGACGTTTGCTTCTCACCGCCACAGTTGCTTGGTGACGTTTGCTTCTCACCGCCACAATTGCTTGGTGACGTTTGCTTCTCACCGCCACAATTGCTTGGTGACGTTTGCTTCTCACCGCCACAATTGCTTGGTGACGTTTGCTTCTCACCGCCACAATTGCTTGGTGACGTTTGCTTCTCACCGCCACAGTTGCTTGGTGACGTTTGCTTCTCACCGCCACAATTGCTTGGTGACGTTTGCTTCTCACCGCCACAATTGCTCGTTATTGCTTTAGTTACTTCGTTAATTTTGTGTTTGCTGACATAGTTAGTAGTTAATATCTACAACTTATTTGTCGAGAATCGATTAAAATCATTGAAATCTGTATGAATGTATATATATATATGTGTGTGTGTGTGTGTGTGTGTGTGTGTGTGTGTGTGTGTGTGTGTGTGTGTGTGTGTGTGTGTGTGTGTGTGTGTGTGTGTGTGTGTGTGTGTGTGTGTGTAAGAGTCCTCACTACATCTCTCACGTTTATTCCACTCACCAACAATTACTTTAAATTACATAATGGACCTGGAGAATGCAATTATATAATCTGGGCATAATGTAATTATATTTTTTTCTCTCGCGTGACTCTTCATTATTTTCTTCTTATCCAAAACTCACCAAGCGATTATTTTTTTACACTGCTGAATTTACAGACCAAGAGCTGTTACCAAACCTCGGCTTTCTTCAAGCTGTCCCAGGATTAGCATGTACGTTGGTCAGCTTACTCGCAAGAGCTGGAGTCCAACATATGCTTGTCAACAGTGCAGACACTGGCACCTTCGACACAAGGGAGCAGTTATATACAGTCATCTCTCTCATAAAAATCCTGTATACAACGTGATTTTGTTTTCGTAAACACGACTAAGTCCAGCCAAAACAGATTTACGCGTGTTATGAAGTTCTTTCAACCAGCTATTTATTTCTGGATTTTTTTTTACAATCTCATTTACACACAAGAAAAACAAACTCTGTAGAGAAGCTACATAAGACAGTTTACTGGATGCATCTGTTATATAACAAAAGAGTTGGCGTTTCACAGATTTCTAATCTTACGATTTCTCTTAAAAACGTTGTTTGGGTTAGGAAGGCTCTTCATCCAAGGAGGTGGAGGTAGGCTTCATTTCCTTAGTGTGGAACAAACCTGAGTTTCCCCTTGTTCCCCGGGGGCAATATGTCCCTACCAGGCTAAGAACTTCCGTAATAATAATAATAATAATAATAATAATAATAATAATAATAATAATAATAATAATAATAATAATAATAATAATAATAATAATAATAATACTAACAACATATTTAATGTTACTAGATATTCTTGTTTTATTGTTAATATTATTATTCCTAGATTAATGGGGAAGCGCTAAACAGGCATGGGTCAAAAATTACTAGGAGAAATAGAAAGTAATCAAGTATGATTCAAGGAAGGGAAGAATAGCTCCAATTCCTTGGATAAAGAGCCCTTCACTTACACCAAGGCGATAAACATATCAGTAGAAGTTAACATACATTAAATATAAACAAACTTTGATTCTGGATGTAAACTCAGTATATTTGTAGATGTAAAGAGAAATACACATTACCTCAACACAGGTAATATTTACCACTGGGTAAACTCTATCCCTGTATACATAATACAAGGCAATATATCTGCCACTAGTGAATATACATTACTTCAGGAGGTCAGGGTGCTCGTGACTACAGTACTGGATTATTTGAGATTAGTCGGTAGAAGAAGCGGGGTCAAGAACTAGAGCTCGCGCCCTGCACACTCGTTAATTACAGCAGGGAGATAGATGGTGCGTGCTGCGCCTCTGGTGGGGAGGCAGGAACTAACTGGCTGACAGTGTGAGGGGGAGTTCCCCTCTTGAAGATGCTGCCTCACTACCTCTGTATTTACCTTCTTACCCTACCCACGGGTGGCACCCTGTTTGTCCATCTTCTTAATCGCTACATTCAAAACAAAGACACAAGTTGCTAATTTGTTGATTGTTCCTATGTGAGGTTGTTCTCCACATTGTCCAGTTGGTTTTATATTTTATTTCTTCAGTACGGTATTTCATTCTTTGTGTGTGTGTTTGTGTTCTCACTGACACATCCTCGTTCTTCCCAGCATCTTCCCTGCCAGAGCTTTCGACTCACAACCAAAAGTATCAGGGTTCAGTCCCGGTACAGGCGGGATGTATGATGAAGTCTCCTAACATCTGCTGCCCCTATTCCCTAGCAGTAAGTAGATACTTAGGAGTTAGTCAGCTATCGTGGATGACACTAGGGAAGGACCAAAGGACCTCAGTGGCAATAAGCTCCACTACTGGACTGTCTTGCATTATCCTGGGTTACTGACCCTGTGGGGACGCTGCTAGACTTTCTTCTTCGCAGAAATGTTGATTTCCACAGTGTTGCAGGAGTTATATAATACCAACGCACACACTACCAAGTATGTGGTTTGTTTACACTGGCTCTTAGGTGTTGCAATCTCTCCCTCTCTCGCCCTTCCTCACTCTCACTCACTCCTCTCTCATCCCTCCTTTCTCACCTCCTCCCTCTCTCACCCTTCCTCTCCCTCACTCACTCCTCCCTCATCCTTCCTCTCTCATCCCTTCTCTCTTATCTCTCTCTCTCTCTCTCTCTCTCTCTCTCTCTCTCTCTCTCTCTCTCTCTCTCTCTCTCTCCTCTCTCTCTCTCTCTCTCTCTCTCTCTCTCTCTCTCTCTCTCACCCCTCCTCTTTCTCTTCATCTCCTCTCACCCTTCCTCTCCCATTCTTAACTCCCTCCCAACTTCTCCCTGGACAGCCTACATATAGTAGGCTGCCCTACTAACGTTTATTCATGCTGGTCAACTTGTGTTGCCGCGTGACAAGTGCAACTGTGTATTCTTAAGCATATAATATAGTGATGGTGAAAATGTTGAATGATGAAAGTTTTTTCTTCCTTTTTAAAATTTTCTTTCTTTTCTGGTCACCCTTCCTAGGTGGGAATCGGGCGACGTGTTTATATATATATATATAATATATATATATATATATATATATATATATTATATATATATATATATATATATATATATATATAATATATATATATATATATATATAGATAACAGGGATATCTTGCTACTCCTACTTACACTTTGGTCACACTTCACAGACACGCACATGCATATATATATATATATATATATATATATATATATATATACATACATCTAGGTTTTTCTCCTTTTTCTAAATAGCTCTTGTTCTTCTTTATTTCTTCTATTGTCCATGGGGAAGTGGAAAAGAATCTTTCCTCCGTAAGCCATGCGTGTCGTATGAGGCGACCCTAAATATGCCGGGAGCAATGGGTAGTAACCCTTCTCCTGTAGACATAACTAACCAAGAGAAGAAGAAAAACTTTTAATAACTGGGATGCTTGATTGTGCGGGATGTAGTTGACGGATGACAAGAAACAGATGGATTGCTGATGTTATGAATGAAAAGTAAGTTGGATGTCCTGGCCCTAGCGAAACAAAGCTGAGGGGGTAGGGAGATTTCAGTGGGGGGAAATAAAAGGGATTAAATCTGGAGTATTTGAGAGGAGTTAGAGCAAGGAAGGGGTAAGCGTTAATGTAAAATGATCGTTATGTGAAGGAGGGAAAAGAGAATATGGATGTGTAAATTCAAGAATTATGTGGAGAGAGAGTTTTGGGAGATGTTAAGTGAATGTATAGGAGCCTTTGAACAAGTGACGAGAGTAAATTGTGGTAGGGACCTGAATGCTAAGTAGGAAGAAACCTTTTAGAGAGGGTTGTGGTAGGTAAGTTTGGGGTGCAGGTGTAAATGATAATGGGAAGCCCTTTTGATTGAACACTTTGTATAGAGCAAGGGGTTTAGTTATAGGGTTAATAATATTTTAAGAAAAGAGGCTAAATAAGTATACAAAGATATGAGTAGGCGAAATGCCCGTAGTTTGTTGGCTTATGTATTGGTAGATAAAAGCTGTTGAGTAGGACTTCAGGATGTACTTGTTTATAGCGGGGCCACAGATATAGCAGATCACTTTTAGTTGTAGCTACACTGAGAGTAAAGGTAGATGTGGATACAAGGAGAATAGAAAGCATCAGGGAAAAGAGAGAGGTTGAGGTTTATAATCTAAAAGAGGAGGCAGTTAGGGTAAGATAAAACAGTATTGGAGGATAGATGGGCTATTGAGAGCATAGGCATGGGGTACGAAGAGGTAAGGGGAAGGTAGTTTTAAAAATGTAGTGTTAGAGTGTTCAGCAGAAGTTTGTGGTTTACAGGAAATGTGGGTGCAGGAGGGAAGAGGAGCGCGATTGGTGGAATGATGATGTAAGAGGTAGTAAGGAAGAAAAAGTTAGATATGAGAAGCTTTTACAAAAGTAGAGTGATGCAAGGAGGGATAAGAGTATATGCGAGAAAAAGAGAGAGGTTACGAGAGTGGATGATGCAATGTAAAAAGAGAGCAAATGAGAGAGTGGGTGAGATGTTATCAAACAAATTTTGTTGAAAATAAGAAAAAGTTTTGGATTGAGATACAAGTTAAAGAAAGCCTAGAGAACAAATGGATTGTCAGTTTAAAAAATAGGAGAGGAAGTTATATATGGCGGGAGTTAGAGGTATTGGGAAGATGAGAGGGAAATTTTGGGGAATGGAATTGTTAAAATGTTGATGAGAAAGGGAAGTTGTGATTTCGTGTATAGGTGCCAATGGCGGAATAACATCTTGTAGGAGTGAGGAGGAAGAGCCAGTTGTTGGAGTGTGGGGGAGTTCGTGAGTCAGTAGTAAAATGAAAGGGGGTAAGGAGCCGGGAATGATGGGATAAAGATTGAAATGTTAAACGCAGGTGGGAATTTAGTTTTGGAGTGGTTGGTGCACTTATTTTATAAATGTATGGAAGAGGGTTAAGGTACCTAGGGATTGGCAGAGAGGAGGCATGCATAGTTCCTTTGTATAAAGGCAAAGGGGATAAAAGAGAGTGCAAACATTATAGGGGGATAAAGTCTGATGTGTTTATACCTGGTAATGATGTATGATGGTAGAGTTATAATTGAAAGATTAAGAGTAAGACGGAGTGGGGGAATAGGATAGCAGATGAACAAGGAGGCTTTCGGAACGGTGGGGGGTGTGTGGACCGGTGTTTACAGTGAACATATAAGTGAACAGTATTTAGATCAGGCTTAAAGAGGTCTTTGTGGCATTTATGGATTTGGAAATGATTGCATCGCCGGCGTATGACAGTGGTGGATAGGGGGTGAATGAGAACTATGTTGCAAATGTATGGTGGGAGGTAGGTTACTGTAAGCAGTGAAGAGTTTTTAGAGGATAGTGAGGCTCAAGTTAGAGTATGTAGGAAAGAGGGAATTTTTTTCAAGTTAAAAGTAGGCCTTAGACAAGGATGTGTGATGTTCGCCGATGGTTGGTTTTATATATTTATAGATGGGGTTGTAAGAGAAGGTAAATGCGAGGGTCTTGGCAAGAGGCGTGGAGTTAAAAGATAAAGATCACACACAAAGTGGGAGTTGTCACAGCTGCTCTTTGCTGATGACACTGTGCTTTGGGAGATTCTGAAGGAGAAGTTGCAGAGATTGGTGGATGAATTTGGTAGGGAGTGTGCAAAGAAGAAAATAAAGGTGAATACAGGAAAGAGTAAGGTTTATGAGGATAACAAAAGATTAGGTGATGAAAGATTGGATATCAGATTGGAGGGAGAGAGAGAGAGTATGGAGGATGTGATCGTGTTCAGATATTAGGGAGTGGACGTAGTCAGCGGTTGGGTCATGAAAGTGAGGTGAATCATAGAAATGGGATGGGAAAAGATGTGAGTGGTTGCACTTAGGAGTCTGTGGAGACAAAGTACTTTTCCATTGGAGGCAAAGGGGGAATGTATGAGAGTAGAGTGTTACCTACGCTCTTATATGGGTGTGAAGGTGGGTGAATGAATGTTGCCACTGCGAGAAGGCTGGAGGCAGTGGAGTGTCATGTCTGAGGGCAATGTGTGGATGTGAATATAATGCAGGAGAATTGTAGTAGTTTGGATGTTAGGAGGAGGGCGGGCTTACCAAAACCTGTTGTCCAGAGGGCTGAGGAAGGGTTGTTTGTTGAGGTGTTTCGGACATGTAGAGAGAAATGGAGCGAAACAGAATGACGTCAAGAGTTGTATCAGTTCTGTAGGGGAAGGGAAGGCGGGGTAGGGGTCGCCTAGACGTTGGAGAGAGGGGGTAAAGGAGATTTTGTGTGCGAGGGGCTGACTTCCAGGCAGGCATGCGGTTGAGCGTGTTTGATAGGGTAGTGAATGGAGACAAATGGTTTTTAATACTTGATTGTGCTGTTGGAGTGTGAGCAAAGTAATTTATTGAGGGGTTCAGGGAACCGGCAGGCCGGACTTGAGTCTGGAGATGGGAATTACGTGCCTGCACTCTGAAGGAGGGGTGTTTAATGTTTTGCAGTTTAAAAACTGTAGTGTAAAGCTCCCTTTGGCAAGCTGTGATGGAGTGAATGATGGTGACAGTTTTTTCTTTTTTCGGGGCCACCTGCTTGGGTGGAATCGGGGCCAGTGTGATAATAAAAATATATATATATATATATATATATATATATATATATTATATATATATATAAATATATATATCTACAGGAGAATGACATTTTTTTGAAAATATCTTCCATCATCCCAGGATCGAGTCAACAAACGTTCTATGACGCTGTCCTCCTCATAGTCTTACTGACGTCTCTCAAAACCAGGCTGACAGATTTCAACCACTGATGGACGAAACCCATCTTACGTGTTGGGGGAAACATAACTGTCTTTTGTTCCCATTATGGACATATCGTATAGAATAAGGTAGCAG